AGGTGAGTGTAGGTGGGGAGTTAGGGAGCGGATAGGTCAGTCCAGGGAGGACAGACAGGTCAAGGGGGCAGGATGAGGTTAGTAGGTAGGAGATGGGGATGGGGCTTGAGGTGGGAGGAGGGGATAGGTGGGAGGAAGGACAGGTTAGGGAGGTGGGGATGAGCTGGGCTGATTTTGGGATGCGGTAGGGGGAGGGGGGATTTTGAAGCTTGTGAAGTCCACATTGATACCATTGGGCTGCAGGGTTCCCAAGCGAAATATGAGGTGATTGACTTCCTTCTGTTCCATGAGTCTATGATTCTACGATAATTCAGAATATTTTGCTGGAACTTTGTCATTTTGCATGTGGTACATAAATTTAAATTTCAGATTTCTTGTATTCGTTCACGGATTGGGAGTCACAGGCCAGGCCAGCATTTATTGCCCTCCCCGCTTGCCCAGCAACCACTGTTCATGGCTTTCTGTGTGCTGGGTGTCTGAAGCCAAACGTTTGAGGGCGGCACAGTGGCTCAGTGGTTAGCACTGCTGCCTCACAGCACCAGGGACTCGGTCACCCAAGGGTGACTGCTGGTGTGGAGTTTGCACATTCTGTCTGCTTGGGTTTCCTCCGGGTGCTCCGGTTTCCTCCCGCAGCCCAAAGATGTGCAGGTTAGGTGGACTGGCCGTGGGAAATTGCCCACAGTGTTCAGGGATGTGTAGATTAGGTGGATGGGTCTGTGGGCTCAAGGATGGCTCCAAGGGTCGGTGTGGACTTGTTGGGCCGAAGGGCCTGTTTCCATACTTGTAGGGATTCTATGAAACGTAGCCGCGACTCCCCAGAGTGATTCAGACGAGGCAGTGAAGTCCATTCGCATTGTAAGTGACGCTAACTACTTGGGTTCACTTCGTGTACTCTCAACCTTACCTGAAGCAGGGTGACCCTCAGGTTAAACCTCCAACAGTCGTTTCTCTATTGAGATGATGAAATGGGTAGACTGTCGATAAAACATTGGGGTCTCTACACAAAACCGTGTTCATTTAGCTCATAAATTTATTAAAGATTTGTCGTATTAGTCATTCAGAAAGATTAAATAAAAGACAATAAAACATTTACACGGGACCTATAATAACTTCCATACCCAATTTGTACCATGTAAAACACCTTACACATTCTCGCTTTCGCTGATAAAATGCTGTAGCAACAACAGAGAAACTCGGAAAATGATGTAGCAAGATTCAAAACAAGAAATGAGTCCTTTTTTTGCATTTTAAATTTTTTTTCTCTAAAATCGCACCACTATTTCCGATCCTAAAAAATACCACTAAAGAGAACCGCTTCCCTGTATCCACAATATAAAATACACGCTACACGTTTCCCTCCCCGCCAGGGACGGGATAGGGTGGGTGGGTGGGGGTAGATATTTGGCAACAAACAAACATTGCAAAGTGCAACTGTTAAAGAAACCCACTCCAAAAAAAACAAATAGTTAACAGAATACAAGCTTAGAAATTACTGTTGGCCACTTTATAACAAGTTTGTACGGCACTCCACCGAGCCAGGCATTGACTTATCTTAATTTCATTTTTTTAAAAAAAAACTTGCATTTATATAGCGCCGCTCACAGCCTCTGAACGTCCGGCGCACTTTGCGGTGAAGTCACTTGTTGCAAGGTGAGGAAACTCCACAGCCCAAGTTTCCCAAATTGTTTCCTGGGATATTAACCATCACCTGCCAATGGTAGCACGTCAACAGTAACTTCCATGCTACTTAAAAAAAAGTGAAAAATAAACGACAGATTGTGGACTATATCAGGCGTTTTAACATTCAGAGAGTATCCTAATACACGGCACTGGTCTGTTCTTAAATAATCACATTCATTCGTATAATTAGTGTCAAGAATCCTAACACTGCGATGTTTTGATGTGTGCACGTGGATCACAATAAGGACCATAAGATTGACACACACATACACACACACACACACATACACACACACACATACAGACGGCTTCAGGAAATACACCTCCTGTTCAATGCGCGTGGCTTGGCAATTTAAACTGCAAAATAGTCATGAACGCGTGTTTCGAAGAAAGGTCATCGACTTGAATTGTTTTCCCCTGTCTCCGCAGATGCTGCCGGGTCTGCTGAAAGTTCCTCACGCACTTTCTGTCTTATTTCAGATTGAACAGCGCCTGTTTTAAAGTCTTGCAAAAGAGCCCCAACCTGTTGTCGCACGGAGTCCACCTACACTTTTAAGCGAAGAACGGAAGCGAACGAGGGCTGAAAGTTGCAACGGGATCGTGGTTCTTCATATGCTGAAAGTTACTTTGTTTTTAAATCGTTGCTACGGGTTCTAACTCAATTCCCAGCTAAAGACGCTACAAAATGCTACTCAATTGTGGCATTTATTCCCGCGGAACGAATACGTACTGATTTGAAAATGAGTGTGTAGGGAGAGAGAGAGACTATGTATGTGTATGTGTGTGTGTGTGAGAGAGAGAGGGAGAGAGACAGAGAAGTTGGGGGGTGGGGATGTGTTAAAACTGTGCGTGTTCCACCTCATCCAGCCAGGAGGCGGGACTGGCCGGGAAGTCAGGATAGCCACCGCTGCTGTCTGTAGACAGATCCGAACTGGGTCCGTTTCCTCCTAAGACGCGCATAGCCTGGCTCATACCTTGTCCCCCTCCTTGAGCCAGGATCCCCAAGCCCGTGTCCTGATACACGAGGCCGGACATGAGGGGAGGGTGGGACGGCATGGCTTGCAAAGAAGCCGGTGACCGGGGGAGGCCGTAAGGACTGTTGGACCTCAGGTCGTGGGAGAGCATTCCATCAATCGAGAAGCCCCCGTTGCTTGCTGTCTGTCTACCCAGACCCGGAGAGGTGTCGTTCATGCTTTTGTACATGCCGTTCGGATGTCCCATATCAGGCATCGAATGATCATCTAGATGTAGAAACAAACAAAAGACATTAAAATCTAAAACCCGAGAGGGACAGTTACCCTACCTTGAATGGCATGCTCCAATTCCATCCAGACCTATTGGATATCTGGAAATAAAGGCAAAATACTCCAGAAGCTGGAAATAATAGAATCCCTACAGTGTGGAGGCAGGCCATTCAGCCCATCCAGTCCATACCTAGCCTCCAAAGAGCTTCCCACCCTATCCCCATAACCCTGCATTTACTATGGCTACTCCACCTACACACCTTTGGACTGTGGGAGGAAACAGAGCAAACCCACACAGACACAGGGAGAATGTGCAAACTCCACACAGTCGCCTAAAGTTGGAACCAAACCCAGGTCCCTGGCGCTGTGAGACAGCAGTGCTAGCCGTTGAGCTACCTGAAATGTGAAACAAACACAGAGGAGGCTGGAGAAACACAGTAGATCAGGTAGCATCAGTGGAGCTGGAAACAGAGTTAATGTTTTGAGTCCAATTTGATTCTTCTTCAGAACTGGAATTCTTTGGAAGAAGTCTTGCTGAACCTGGAAGTTAACTCTTTTTCTCTCTCCACAGATGCTGCCAGACCTGTTGAGTTTCTCCAACATTCTCTGCATTTGTTTGAGGGAGAGTTAACCGTCTTGCTCCAATTTCACCCTGACTCATGAGACAACAAATGTAAGATACACCGGATGCTGGGGATTGAAAATAAAAACAACTGCTGGAGAAACTTAGCAGGTCCGGTAGCAACTGTGGAGAGGGAAACAGTAGCCCAATATGACTCTTCTTTGGAACTCTGTTTGTTTTAGGGGGAAGGGGGCTGTGCAAAGATGGGAAACTATGGGCAGTGAGGGAAGCTGTGGAGAGGAGGTCTCCATGGGAGATGAGGCCATTGAGAAGTCCTGGAAACAACAGCGAGATGTTCAGTTGTGGAGTCATGATCCAGAGAGATGGAAAGAAGTCTCTGAGAATTGGCACTTAGCATCTTCAAGGTGGTGGCTGGTATACCAGATGACAACAGTATCATTCTTGGCAGCAGTTCGGCAGAAGACATATTACCGTGAAAGGGCTAATGATAAATTGATGTCTACAAATACCAGGAGAATCATGATCCCTTAAAAAAACAACATCCTTAAAGGTGAGGCTTCCTGCCTGATATATTGCAATAAGGACTGGTCCATCTACTCCCTCCCCATCAGGAAGTCTTTGCCCACCATCTATTGCTGCAGCAGGCTAGCCAAACATATTGTATTGGAAGAGGTAGAAGCAATGATCCCACTACATCAGTTTCTCATAAATCTGCACACTAACAAATCAAAATGAACACTCACCACTCCATTTCTTAGCCAGGGACATTAATTCTGTCTGTCTGTCTCTCTCTCTCTCTGCAGATGCTGCCAGAGCTGTTGTGTTCCTCCAGCGATTATCATTTTTATTTCAGGTTACACACGCTCACAGCATTTTGTTTTATGTTCCTGGTTCGATATCTGATACCCCATACATTTTCAGTATGAAATTGTGCCTAAAACATTGTGCCATAATTCAAACCTCCCCACAAATGATGCTAAATATCTCTCAAAATTGAAAAGCATTGAGACAGTTTGTTTTGGCACTGCCTGATGAGTCATGTTAATCTAAAGTGACAGTGTTCCTTGTACTTTCAAAGTGGAGGCTTTCCTTAATTCATTCATGTGGGCATTGCTGGAAAGGCCAGCATTTGTTGTCCAGCCCTAAATGTCCTGATCTGCTTCAGAGAGCAGTTAAGGGTCATCCACATTGCTGTAGGTCTGGAGTCATATGCGAGTGAGGCCAGTGAGGACAGCAGATTTCTTTTCTTAAAGCAGGTGGTATGGTGGATGAGTGGTTAGCACTGCTGCCTCATTACACTGGGGACTTGTGTTTGATTCCATCCTTGGGTGAGTGTGTGTGTGGAGTTTGCACATTCTCCCCATGTCTGCATGGGTGCTCTGGTCTCCTCCCACAGTCCAAAGATGTGCAGGCGGGGTGGATTGGCCATGCTAAATTGCCCATAGTGTCCAGGGATGTGCAGGCTAGGTGGTTATGGGGGAGTAGGTCTGGGTGGGATGCTCTTCAGAGGGTTGGTGTGGACTTGATGGACCAAGTGGCCTGCTTCCACACTGTAGGGATTCTATAAAGGACATTAGTGAACCAAATTTATATTAGGCTGACCATTATTTCCAAACTTTGTTGAATTTAAATTTCATAATCTGCCATGGTGGGTTTCATGCATATGATTACCAGTTCAGGAACATTACTGCTACACTAGCCCCATTCAAGGGCCACCCCCTAACTGATACTAACACACTAATGTTACCATGAGTGGTGGGATTTTAACTTGATGGTCACTACACTGCAGGCAAGGGATGTAGTGGGGAGAAGCAATGCCTTTCCTGGTAACTGCAGTCGGTGTGGGCATTGAACCCATACTGTTGGTATCACTCTGCATCATAAACCAGCCATCCAGCCAAATGAACTAACTGACTCCCTAACACACTAGTTAGCACTACAGTAATTTAGAATTTGCATGTTGATAAGAATGGCTGTTGGAAGGAGAGACAAGATGATTTTCCAACAGTGAGCTATCTCCTATGTTTGTAAATGTGCCTTTCCTCTGCTCATTTTGCCAATATCACTGTTTGCTCCCAGAAACAAACCCCTCCCCAACCACCCACACCTCATTGTGAATTAATTCCATGTGAAACCACTCAGGCTCATTCTCAATTACATGAATCACTATCAATATGCATTTCTTAGATTTTCCATCCTTAGCCATTTGCAAATTAATTAAAATCTTAAGATTGCAGAAGGAGGCCACTCAGCTCTTTGTACACATACCTCTCTAAAGGAGGTGTTTGAAGTGGTCCCATACTTCCACCGCTCTCTTCCCTCAGACCTTTACAGATGTTCACTTTTCAAATACTTAACCAATTCCCTTTTATAAGTTTCTATTGACCCTACTTCCACCACTCTTATGAAGAGTGTATAACATTTCCTAACGGTTCGCTGGGTAATAAAAAAATAGGTACATAGTGAGGAATATGGGGACACGGAAGCAAGAATAGGCCATTCTGCCTTTCAAACCTGCTCCATCATTGATTAAGGTCATAGCTGATTGGTTGCAGTTTGAATCCCAATTTCCTGTCTGCACTAAACCCCCACCATGACCTTCAATGGCCTTGTCTATTAAATATTTATTGAACTCAGGCTTGAGTAAATTCAATGGTCCAGCTTCCACTGTTTACCAGGGAAGAGAATTCCAGAGACACATGATCCTCTGAGAGAAAATAAAGCCTGTCCCTATCTCCATTTTAAATGTGGGACCTCAATCTTAAACTGTGTCCCCCAACCCCAGTTCTGGTATCTCCTATAAAGGGAAACATCCTTTCTCACCTTGCCAAGTCCTCAAATCTGAATCTATTGGTTACAGGTTCTCCTGTCAATGGAAGCAGTTTCTCCTTATTCGCTCTATCAAAGCCCCTCATAATATTAAGCACCTTATTAACTCTGTTCTGAACAGTGCCCCTTCTAATTAAATTGATCCAGCTCCTATTGTCTTTCCACATAGCTGAGATGCTGATGTTTACAATGATAGTCCAAAAGGTAGTTATTGTTGGATTTGTTGATTGTCAAAGGCAACTAAAACTCAACCCCAACTCGCTCTGACTATCAGATGCCAACCTGTGAAGGACACTTCAGCATCACTGGCTACCCCATCATCCTGGGTGCTATCCTTGTCTGATTTGGAGCTTGCTCTGGATCGTTTGATGTTCCTGAAATATTGGCCCCATCTCTGTCTCCCAGCATCTTTTTTCAATCGTTTCTCCTTTGCTCGGCGATTCTGAAACCAAACCTATGGGAGACAAAAGCAGTGTAAGCAACTGTAACCTTGGTGTTAAATGTTTTGAACTACATTAAAACAAAGATACCCTTGGGTGTTAGTTAACCAGCAAATAAACCTATGGAGGCCCTACTCCTGTAGACACTAGGCTGTTGGGAATAATGTTGGGAGACTTTGATTTTTGACCTTTTGCACAATGTTTCAATGGGAATATTGCCAAAAAGAAAAATCATTTACCGTAGTTTTGGTATTGATCATCAGGTTGTACTACCAGTTCTGCATGACAGTGTTCAGGGCCCTTGAGATCAGGACATCAGTAAATTTTTAACATTATAAAAAAATTGTTAAAAAAAATGTTTGGAGTAATGATTTTGCAGTCGTTTCCCAATGGCTGTAAAACCTAGAATAGTAAGACTCAAGAAAATCAAGACAGTGCTCAGGCCAGTGATCCTGCACTGCATTTCAAAAATAGGATCATATTGAGACAGGAACTACAGCATAACTAATCTTGAAATGTCTGAAAGAGGAACAAAATAGCAAATTAATATCATCATTAGATGCAGTGTAGTTTCCAATATGTCTTATACTACTCACAAACTACTGGCTCAAACTGTAATTCTCCAAATCAGATGAGTATTGTGTTGAATTTGAAATTTTTGAGAACAGGAGTTGGGCGTTTCATACTCTGTAAACATCTAAGTCAACTTCAGGTACATTTAGAAAATGCTGATGGGATCTGAGACATCTGTGTACAACTTTCTATACTAGGTTTGATACTGGACTTTTATTTTGGAGTTTTCTTCCTCAAGTGACATAAAATCAAGACAACCTGGTTTCAGATGCCTGCCACTTCAACACACCACCATATTCTCTGGTCAATGTTTCTGTTTCAGGCTTGATGCAGTGCTCTAGTGAAGCTCACCACAAGCTGGAAGAACAGTGTCTCATCTTCCATATTGGGATCCTGCAGCCTTCAGGACTCAATATCGAGTTCAGTAATTTTAGAACCTAAGCACCATCTTTAATGTCCTTTACCAACCCAACATCCCAGGTCATGTCATGACATGAGCTGCTTTCAGCACAACCAATCCATTTTCACCTACTTATGGTCCCCATTAGTAGCTTTTCTTTCTCCCTAGCTTGCTCCTGTCCATCTCTTTGTCTGCCGAACTGTCTTTCTCTCACTCTGGGCTCAGTCTCTACCTACCTGTTTATTCCTTTACGCATCCCTCCTCCAGCCGCTGTCTTCAGCAAATATACCACATTTTCTTAGTTACTAATGGCTTCAAATTGGACTTGAAATGTAATCTCTACTTTCTCTTCACAGATGCTGCCAGATTTACTGAGTTTCTCCAGCAATTTTTGGATCTGGACCCTTCTTCAGAAAATGATTTTCTGAAGAAGGATCCAGACCCGAAACATCATCTTTCCTGCTCCTCTGATGTTGCTTGGCCTGCTGTGCTCACCCAGCTCTACACCTTGTTATCTCTGTGGGTATGATTAGTATTTTGAGTATGAGCATGGTGGAATGTGACTACAACGTTGTCATTTTCACTATACTATCTTGTCACACAGTGTCTCTCTGAAGCCATTATTCCATTACAGTGCAGTATTTGTGACCAAGTCCCTTTGCTGTCATGCTCAAGTGTAATTCTTCCCTTGGATTGTCAGGATTACAACTCTGAGTTCTGAAGAGTCATACTGGACTCGAAAGATTAATTTTGTTTCTCTCTCCACCTATGCTGCCCTCCTGCTGAGTTTCTTCAGCAATTTCTGTTTTTATTGCTGTAATGTGGCTCAGGTTCAACAACTGTTTCTCCCCATCATGAAACTTGCAGCCTATGAGAAAGCCACTTGTTCCATACCTGGCCCTGTTCTACTAAATTGTTCCTTACTATCGGAGTGGCAACAAAGCTGATCAAGCAATCTTTGTAGATAGTAGGAACTGCAGATGCTGGAGAATCCGAGACAACAAGGTGC